GCGGGCGGGTTGAAGGGAGTGCGAGAAACAAGTGAAGGTAAGAGCAGCCTGTTAGATCACATCTTCGCGACATAATTGTTGATGATGGTGATGGTGATGGTGTTGTTGTTGTTGTTGTTGTTGTTGTTGTTGTTGTTGTTGTTGTTGTTGTTGTTGTTGTTGTTGTTGTTGTTGTCGTTGTTGTTGTTGTTGTTGTTGTTGTTGTTGTTGTTGTTGTTGTTGTTGTTGTTGTTGTGAGTTCTCACGTCTACATCCTAATATGTATGATTGGTTCCCCCTTCTTGTGCTCATTGTGGTTTTCAATCGAAGTGTTCCTCCTGGAGCTTGCGCCTTGCTTTTTACTTGGGAACGTCATGCGCGTCAAACTGTGCCCCTGGCCTCCGATTTACAACAACAGCGGCTCCCGCTTCACTTTTCACACTGTTTTATTCAACATCGCGCTCTCGCGCTGGCTTTCTTCGCAGCTGATGCAGGAATCGCGCTCTCGCGAGGGACTTCCTCGTAACTTATTGAGACGCCGCGTTCTCGACACTCAGGGATCACGCTGTCGCTGTGGGCACGATCTGCTCGGGAATTCGAGCACTTCGCGTAACCCCACCAGTCCATCCAGAAACGATGCCCTCAGGAGTTGCCTCGATCAGGGAAGTGGGCAGCACGCAGAGGAGCCTCTTGGAGCGTCTTGGGGGCCTCTTGGCGGACCCGGATCTTGGAGGGTCTTGGGTGCCTCAGGGAGCTTCTTGGGGCCTCTTGGGGGTCTCTTGGGAGCCTCTTGAGGCCTCTTGGGCGCCTCTTGGGGCCTCCTGGGGTCTCCTCGGCGCCTTTGGGGGCCCTCTTGAAGCGCTCTTGGGAGCCTTGGGAGCGCTCTTGGGGCCATCTTGGAGGACATCGATCAAACAAGAGGGGAGCTTTAATTAGCGGTACCCCCTCAAGAGGCCAACATGAGGCCCAAACCATGGTAAAACCAATGATTTTGGCTTCCTCGCCGAGGCCGTTTTGGACGCTCCAACGCGTCGCGGCCCCCCCCCGTCCAGGTCCAGGGGAGGGGGTAGGGGGAGGGGTCAAGACACCCTTTCCGCACGCAAGCCGTCTAGCTCACTCTCACCCGCCTTCCCACCACATAAGTGGCATCCGAGACTCGGCATAGCCAGGGGTCGCCACTGGGGATGGACAGCCGCTGGGAACCGAAGCGGACGCCAGGTGCGCGACGCTCGCCGCGGGCTCCACATGCGGTTGGTGTACCATCCTTGTAAAAAATGTGATGCCCCCCCGTCCGCATGGTCCAGATGCTGATGTGGAGGGCGTCAGCGTTGTTCTGGGCTTGCGCGCAGCAAGCATCATCATGCGGGCACCACCGCCGTCCCTGTCAAAGAACAATACAAAGTGATCGCAGGTGGCCAGCACAATACCCACGACGTTGTCGCAACGTGTGCTTTGCATTCTTTTTAACACGGATGGTGGTCCTGCACAAAGCGGCTTCACTAATGATGCCCCGCCATCCTTGACAACGTGTTCACAGGCGCCAGCGCACTGTCCAGATTTTGCTGCATTGTGCACTTCGTATTGTTTTTTGGCAGGGATTGTGGAGGGTGTTTTCAGGGTGGGCCCCGCAAGGTGCATGTTGTGTTGTTATTGGACAGGGATGGTGGGTGGGTGCCCGCATGGTTCCGGGTTGGCTGCAGGCCAGGTGGGGGAGGGGGTGTTTATTGATAGGGAACAGTGATAAACCCCTCCCCGAGGGGGGAGAAGGGTGTTGGAAGAGGAAGCGCTCTAGACCACCTACGCTCAGAGGGCTGGTGGGAATGCGCTATCGCTCGAGACGTCCTCGCGATTCACGCAGGACTGTCGCTTTAGCGACCCGCCCGCTGGGCCCGGCCGTCTGGGCCCGCCCGCCCGACCCGCCCATCAGGGTCCGCCCGCCCGACCCGCCCGTCTGGTGCTGCCGCGTGTTTTCCCGCTCCTGACCCCCCTCCTAATCTCTCTCGTGCTCCATCCTTCCCCTCTAACCCCCCCTTCCGTCCCGCCCACTACTCCATGCCAGAGCCCCTTCGCTGAACACTGCTGTTTTCGAAGCCTCTGGAGGCCATCGCCCCCACTGGGGACCCCGCAGCTCTCCGCGGGAAGCGAACTCCCCATCTGGGGTCTCTCCAATAGCAGGAGGGCTCTGCCACGACTCCAGATCTTAGCAGCCTGGTAGGGCCCAGCGACGACCCACCTCTGCAGTATATGAGCCGGTCGCATCGGAGCGACAGCACGGCCAACGTAAGCAGCCGGGTCTTGGGGTTGGGCGCCAGAGAGGGTGGGCCGTCGGTTTGTGTGGCGTGTGCTGGCCTTCTCCGACCCGCTCGCCCCCAGTTGATGGACGGCGAGCACCTGATGCTGCCAGAAGGGCAGGAGAGGTCATCAATCTGGATGTCGACGCCGATCATGAACTTCAGGATCAGCAGGCTTCAAGCCGTGCGGACGGGGGATTGGCACCTGCAGGACAGGTGTACTGTAGAAGATTGGATCTGAAGGAACGTTGACGTGAACGTGGATGGGATGCAGGTTCGAGCATGGGGATGGGGGTAGATGGATGGGGTGGGAGAACATGACGGGGGCATTCGGCAAGGGGGAGACGGGAACCGAGGAAGTGAAAGCAAGTCAGAGCCCCTGTCCTTTCACTTCGTCTGAGCGTTAATGCGGGCTGCCATGTGGCTCAAGACTATCGTGCTCTGCCCGCGGGCACTCGTCCGTCGCGCGTTCTTGCGCGGCGCGCCCTGGAGCACGCCTGCCGCCGACGCGGCCCTGGGAGAAGGGTGCGCGTGATCGGCCCCTCGTTTCACCGACTCTTGTCCGCGCGATGGGCCCCTGTGAGGCCCCTTGGTGCGCAGGCAGCCCGCCCTCGGCTTCTGCTTGCGGGGCGGCCCGTGGCCGGTCGAGCAGCCACGGGCGCCAGTGCAGGCGCGCCCGCCGTGCAGCCCAGTGCTGGGCCGGCGCTCCGCCCAGAGTCGGCCTTCCTGCTTCATACGAGGGCGCGTCGAGCGAGGCCGCGGACTCGGATACCCATCCACGGGCCCTCTGCGGGCCATGTGGTGTTCGTCTTCTTCTTCTTCTTCTTCCTCTTCTTCTTCTTCTTGCACACACCGTCCCCGTCGGAGGATCCCGAGAAGGCCTAGATCATTTTGTCAATTAGTTGTTTTGTAATGGCAATCTCGCCTTTGCGGGCTCCAATGGGCTTCTCGGGACCTGAGGTGGCCCCATGAGGCCACAGGACAGCTCTAAGAGGGCCCCGATGATCCAGGAGAGGCCCGCACGTTGAAAGTTGCTTGTGGTTGGCGTCTCCAAACGTTGATGCTCAATGACGTCGGCCATGCGAAATCGAAGCAACACTTACGATTCCTCCTCCTCCTCCTCCTCAACCCATTTTTTCTTATGCGACTACCACAGGAATTTCCTCGGGATTACTATCCAGTTGACGCGAAAGCGAAGCTGTGCTGAGTGGGGCCCAGAGCTCGCTCGGGCATCGGGGAAACATCGTGTGCGGCGCCGCTTCTGCTGCTGAGTCGGCCGCCGCTGCATCTCGACCTCGTCCTCCTCGTCCTCCTCGCCGTCCTGCTGCTGGTGCTGCTCCCCATTCCCTGTCCCGAGGCCTGGCTCGCGTGCCTGCACGCCTGCCGCGTCCAGAGCGGCTTCGCTGTCGCCAGCCGCGTCCAAGACGCCCACAAGAGCACCGTCGCTGTCCCCTCGGACGCCCAGAACCGCACCGTCGCTTTTCCCCCAGTCCGCAGGAGCTGTGCTTGCTTGCCGTGGGGAGAGGCGACGGCCATTGTGGGGGATCGCCGCGCTAGGGTCATCGAAAGGAGCTGGCATTCCAGGTTGAGCACGTTGGCGCTGTGGCCTCGCTGACATTTGTGCCTTGCTGGCGTGTGGGCCTCACCGGGATGCGTGCTTCGCTAGTGAAATGGATGGGGACGAGGTGGTCCCAGCCTGGGGTTCTGGACGTTCGTGATCGCGTTGGCATGGCGATGGGATCGCCGCATCGGCTGTGCAAGAACGGTTGGTGTGTGTGTGTGTGTGTGTTTGGAATCTGCTTCGTGGAAAGCATTGTGTGACTCCACCATGTTTTTGGTTGACGGGCGTCACAGAGCTGGCAGGTCGTCCACCCGTGTGCAGAGCGTCCAAGAGACATGTAAGTTGAAGGTCTGAGGCCACTGAAAAGTAATTCAGCATGGCTGTTTCGAAGGGGCCTGAGGACACTCCACTCAGTGCCTTCTGCACGGTGGCGGACATTCAGGTAATGTCCGAAGGGCTGCCCCCTGTGCTGTGCCACATTGTCTTTTATATAGGAGCAGTTTAGGTGTGGGGCCACCTTCGGGCTACTTTGGCAATCTGGAGGCTATCTTGAGGCCTCTGGGGCCCACTTTGAATCGTTTTGCCATCTTCGGGCTTTGCGTGGCCGTTCTGGGCGATTTGGGCGGCGTGTTGGGGCTTGTTGGGGCCACCTTGGGCCCGTCATGGGCAATATTTAATTTCTGGGGCCGTCTTGAAACGATCTTGATAACATCTTGGGAACGAATAGTTGGACAGGCAAGAACCAGCGTATGGGCTTTCAGAGTCTTTTTTTTGCCTTTTCGAGGGCGTCTTGGGGCCCTCCTGGGCCATCTTGAAGGCATCTTCGGCCATCTTCGGCTGTCTTGGACCCTTGGGGCCCTGTTCGGGGACTCTTGGGGCTGTCTTCGAGCCCCTTTGGGCCATCCTGTTTGTGCGGTGGAGTCCCCGTGGGAAGTTTTGGGGGAGTCCGGGGAGGCCGTGTTTTTTTCGGTGTCACGGGCCCTCTATTAGTCAATACCGTGGAGGCAGGGTTGGAGAGACAAGGCATAGAAAATAAACGACACCAAAAACACAGCCCCGAGGGAGCCAGCGCATCTCCGATTTGCGAAGTAGGGATACTGTACGAAAGCATGTCGTCCTTTCCGCCCTCGGGTTTCGATAGTTTTCGGTTGTTGATTTCCACCGTCGTCTTTAAGAACAGGGGGCAGGCGACGACTGACCTCGAAACGGATAAGTGCCGCCGAAATGTCGTTTTGCCAGCCTCGGTTGCATACGGTCTTGCGGCTGTATCAGTTCTTTTGAAATTTCTTCCTGGATGCGTGCTCGGTTTCCATGCCGAGGCCGATCATTGGCGCTTCTGCACAATCAGTCATCCACGGTATAGTGGAACATGAAGCGATCGGCGACACGACATGTGATATGTGCTTGGGCCCTCTGTGTTGTACAGCGGCACGAGGAGACCTGCTAGCTTCGATGTGCATCGTACAACGCCCGCCTTCGCATCGAAGGCGCAGACGGCGAATCACCGCCGCCCCCTGCCTTCTAGAATCGTTCATGTGGCCGAGCGTTGTGGCAAGAGCTTTGCAATGCCATCGGACCATGTGTTCCCCCAGCCGTTGTGGAATCCCTTCGGGGAACGCTTGGGGGAGGATGGTGGGGAAGATCAGGAGGAGGCGAAGGAGGAGGAGGAGGAGGAGGTGGTGGTGGAGGAGGAGGAGGAGGAGGTGGTGGTGGAGGAGGAGGAGGAGGAAGAGGAGGAAGAGGAGGAGGGGGCATTTTGGGAGCCTCTGGGAGCCTCTTGGAGGCACCTTGGGGGCCTCCTTGGGCCTCTTGGGGGCCTTTGGGGGCTTCTCGGGAGCCTCTTTGGCCGTCTTGGTGGCTCCTGGTCCATCTGACGTCGTCGGAAGCAATCTTGGGGGCCTCTCTGGGCCGTCTTGGGGCCCAATTGGGGTGCTCCAGGGCCGTCTTGGAGGCTTTCTTGGGCGTCTTTAGAGGTTTTTTGGCCGTCTTTGGGCCCTCTTGGGGCCGTCTTGGTGGCCTCTTGGGCCGTTGGAGGCCGAAGAGAAGCAAATGCCGAAATCCTTCAAACATTGATTTTGGCCTCTTCGGGCCTTCCTGGAGGCCCTCTTGGAGGCTTCTTGGGCTGTCTTGGGCCATCTTAGAGCCATCTTGGACCGTCTGGGTGGGCTCCTGGCCCGTCTGACGCCGTCGGAAGCCGTCTTGGGGGCCTCTCTGGGCCGAGTTGGCTCGTGGGGTGCTCCAGGGCCGTCTTGGAGGCTTTCTTGGGCGTCTTAGAGGCCTTTTGGGCTGTCTTTGGGCCCTCTTGGGGCCGTCTTGGAGGCCTCTTGGGCCGTCCTGGGTCCATCCTGGAGGCCTCTTGGGCGCTCTGGGGGCGATCTTGGGGGCCCCTGGGGCCGTCTTGGGCCGTGGGAAGGCCGAAAAGGAGCAAACACGACGGTCCTCCAAACACCTGAGGAACATTACGGATTTTAGCCTCTTCGGGCCCTCCTGGAGGATCTCTCGGAGGCCTCTTGGGCCTCTTGGGCAGTCTTGGGTCGTCATGGAGGCTTCTTGGGCGGACTTGGAAGTATCTTGGACTCTTGGGCCGTCTTGGAGGCCATGTTGGACCATCTTGAGCGAATGTGGAGGCCATCGTGGCCATCTTGGAAGCCATCTGGGGCCATCTGGGAGCCATCTGGAGCAGGATAACCTTTAGGAACCACTTCTGGAAGAGCATTTCGGGTGGCCGGAGCCCCAGGGGAGAGTTCTTTTGGGAAAAGAACCAGCTACCAAACCGAGAGGATCCAGCACGCCAGGCATCCCTGTGACAAGCACAGGGGGCGGCGGATCTAGTGGCTTTCGCCCCATCCCGCCACCGTGCCTGGGTCGTGAAAGAGAGGCCTCTGCGAGGCTTCTTTGGCTCTTGGAAAGCTTCTCGGCGGGTATTCGTGGGACCTCCAGGTGTCTCTTGCGAGCCTCTTGGGGCGTTTTGGGGGCGTCCTGGGGCTGCCTTGGGGGCCCCTTAGAGGGCCATCTTTGCAGGAATGGCTCGAAATGTCAGTTCAGGTTCCCCCCCTTGGGCCGGAGCCTTCTTGGGGTCCTCTTGGGCCCTCGCAGGCGCCTCCTGGTCCGTCTTGGGGCTCTCTAGCGCCGTCTTGAGTGAGGCCCTCTCGGGGGTTGCTTGGACCATCTTGGGGCGATCTCGGGGGCCTCTTCGGCCGTGTTGAAGCGGTGGCAGCTCGAAAAAGTGAGAACGCTAGAGCCCTTCAAAAACCAAAGGGCCATCCGCAATTTTGCCGTCCTGGGGCTGTCTTGGGGGTCATCTTGGGGGCCTCCTGGGCCGTCTTAAGGGTATCTTGGGTGACTTAGGACGCTGTTGGGCCGACTCGGGGGCCTTTTGGACCATCGTGGGGCCTCCTAGGGCCCTCTAGATGGCTCGCCCCTCCCGCGACGATCTCCTACGACTGGGACTATCGTTGCTACGATACAACAGAAGAGGAGCTGTGCTTCGCCTAAGGCGTAGCTTCTGGTCGGGCTTACCGGCCCACTTCAAACTTGGTAGCGGAGCTGGCCTATGGTGGTCAGCTCTTGCTTTCTTCCTCACCATCCGCGGCACTATCTGGTGGACGACTGACATGGTGGAACATCACATCCGACCACGACCTACGGGGCCATTGGATTGGTGTTACTATCTTTGGTCTGATATGGGTTGCTATCGGGTGTGCTGTGGGACACATGCGTAGCGGAGACGACAAAAGAACAACCGGCCCCCACTGGGACCCGGCCGGTCAAGTACCTTTCCACGAATTCGTTCGAGAGGTACATGCCTGGATCAACCTGACCACAGGCAGTATGACGCCCTCCTAACAAGCTGCCGCACTGCAGCGCGGTCTGGGAGGCCTCGCACGGACCATAGCCATGAGAGTTTCCCCCCCAGCAGTCATCCATTTTGGCGTCAACACAGGTGGCCGCCATGCGGATGGTGTCACCTACATTATGTTCCTCCCGAGCACGAACTCATGGACTCCCGAGCACGAACTGCTGATGGTGTCACCTACATTATGTTCCTCCGCGCCCTAGGAACGCCAACTCAACTCGGGTACTGCTCTCATGGACTATCGAGTCCATGCGGGAGAACGGATCGACCAGACATTGGCGCGCTTCGAGATAGCCCGCTATGAGGCTGAAGCGGCGGGTTTGAACATCCCCAACTTCCAAATTCTAACGGTTATTCTGTTCAGAGCCTTATGAGTGGGGACGTCGCGTGCACGACAACTTCTACGGCCACTTAACCACCATATGCCGAGGGACCAGCAGCAATTGACTCTCTGCTCGAACGCATGCGATCATATGCTCACATCGCTGAGCGAACCCCTGGCAACATTGGTGGTATCTTCAGCCACGGTCGCCGTGCCAAAACCTTCCATGCTGAAGCCAACGCAGGGCAACCTGCTACGAACGTCCGGAACGACGATCCGCAACCAACGGGAGCCACCACGCAGTTAACTCAAAATGGTAGTTCGGCCGCGGGGTCGCAAGACTCCTGGGCCAGATATCAGGGACCGCTGGCGACGGCGGCTCCTGCACAAGCCATTACCCTTGTAGGCTCAACGGGGCAGCCCGCTGAGTCCGACTTCGACTCTGGAACCGACTCCGACACGTCATCAGACGACGAGGCGAATGCCCTAGACTACTCCGACATGCCCACGTATCTTACGGAAGAACAGCAGGCCCAGTGGCTATTCTTAGGATATCAGAAACATGAACGCAGGTGGATACGATTTATGAAGAAGCCATTTCGCAAGGTACGGCGTACTACTCGACGGGCACTTAGGGGAAAGGGTAATGGTCGAGGCAAGGGTAAGGGCAAACGGCGGCGACTGCATGCCAGAGGTATGTTAGCTTTCCTGCCACCCCTTACTGGACCGCATCCGGAATAATTTTTCCTAGGTGCGCG